GAAAATTCACACTTACAGTCATGAGTTGGGGCATACCAAGATCTATAAGACATCACCGTTTGAGCGACGCAAGTCGATTCAGTACGAGGCTGCCTTGTGTTGGAGAACGGTACATGGTGGGAGAGGACAAGGGACGATTGGTGCTGCACGCATCACAAAGCCTGAACAAACACGAAGCAGCCAAATATCCTCCTCATCGCCCTCCTCGATGACGGACACAATCATGCGAGTTCCGTGGCAACGCCCTTGACGCCTTTCAACTCTGAACAGATCTAGATGTCGCGTCTATGTTCTGCACGTCTGCGAGCGGGAACCACTGCACCGCCCAAGGTCTTTAATAACTTGTAAGAATTTGGGCAAGGACTCCCATTGCTTTCAGCTGAATTTCTACTTCGAATTTATCGAAAATTTTACAATCTGAAGGATTCAATCTGCGGAAACTTGGAAAGTGCAAATCCGAGTCGAATACAAGAACCTCCAACCGCAATCGGCTTGACTTTACGCGACGCTGCAGTGGACCTCATTAGCATCAGTCACTCTGCGCACTCCGGCATCCTTCAAGACATGATTCTCTGGGGCCCCGTTAACAATCTCTTGCTGACTTGTTCGCCGCGCGCACATCCTTCCCTAGTCTATGAATTCACGAACTCGGTGATCTGATATTTGGACGCGCAAGCGCTGATCTTCCTGCCACTGACAGATCTGTCTTGGCCCTTTTTTACGTTCGGCCTACCGGGTATCTGCCCCTTCTGCCCTCTTCTTCTTTCTTCCCTCCTCTTTCTTTTCACCATGAGTTTACGCCTCTTCCGTTCCCTTAATCCAACCGCTCCTGCTCAGAACACAAATCAGCTGGTACCGCTGGTAAAGGCGAGCCTCATCCCCCTCCATGTCGTTCGTAAGTACTTCATGTTCTCATAACGCCGGAACCATCATTGTTAATATATGCCAAATAGTCGTGGGTTTGACATGGATTCTTCACGACTATTGTACGTCTCCTCCAAGCTGTAACATATCTACCTGGGCTCAACCTGCTCGGTATCCAGTTCTCACTTTGGAAGACGAGGTCAGTTACCTGTTTATCCCTACGGCCACTGATCAACTCGGGCGGCGTTCCAACTATAGATACGATATATCTGGGTGCGATGTTTACTCTGATTGTTCCAATCTCTCTATCTTGACATGGGCGCAATCGGACAGCCGCAACGTCGAAGTTTCAGCAAATTCATGTTTTTCTGGGTGAGTGATCGATTTCCTTTTGGCGCAAGTATTCAACAATGATAATGCTCCAGATACGATATTATAGGTCTGTCTGTTGATCTATTATCCTCGAAATCGAATAGTGGATGACTTGACTTGTATGTGGATCCAACTCATACTATAGCATCGCGCTGCTTTTATTCGATGTCGTTCAAATCCACGTCTTCGCACGACCTGGAATAACTTCAGATAATGTGTACGTGGCGTTTCTCCTTCATTCAATCTTTCATCCATTTATCTATTCTTCTTCCGCCGACGTATGATTCAATCACCTTTCTAAACACACTCATTCCAGATGCATAGCAATGGACACCATAATCCGCATCGTCGGCGCTGTCTCTCTCTGGAGCGTCGAAATTATCATGCAGCTCCGTATCTACGCGCTCTTCGAATGTTCCAAGCCCGTAAGTTGTCCAGCCAAGTCTGCCCGTTCACCCCATTTCGACATCTGATTATATTTGTTCGTTCAGATAGCATTCCTCAACCTCACGCTCTTCGCTGGCTCAATCGCCGGCTTCATGTGGATTCTCGTCCACAATCACTCCCGCCGTGCCTCGGTCATCGCCGATGTCATCGACCTCCCGCTCCCCGGTTGTCCGTCGGTGCATTCGGGTATTGAGTGGGCGCAGTGGGTACCTGGTATGTCTATTGACACGTTCCTCCCTCTTCCTTCAATGAAATTGATATATCAATCTTAGCAACGATATTCGAAGGGATCTTATTCTCATTTGCCCTATTCAAAACATTCGAAAGGACTGTATCGGCGCTGAGGAAAGAGGGGAAAGTGCGTTTGTATAGGATTCTTTTGAGGGATAATATCTTGTATTTCTTTGGGTGCGTGCCATCGAATCGACGCCGGAAAACGCTTGACGAAGAATTTGAGCAGAGTCGCGGCGCTTCTTGTATTCAATAACGTGCGTTGCGTCTCTCTCATTCAGCTGTACACCTCACAGGCACCGCGTTCAGCTCATGGTCGTGGTGCGTGTCAAGTTGTCAAACCTCCTGTCTTCCCACGGAAATTCCTCAATTTATTATCTAGAGCGTCACGCATATCCCCTGGTTCAGCTACGGGTGCGTTTTGATCTCGTTATTTATCGCCACTGCAAAACTAATTTTTTAAACATCGGATCGCGATCGACCTTAAGCCCGTTCCACGCGGCCGTCGGAATAATGACCTCTCGCATGCTCATCAATCTGCGCAAGGTTACGTCGAAGAGCTTGATGATCTCTGCTGGCCGGTTGGGAGAAGATGGTATGCTGAGTAGCTTGCAGTGTGTTGTTAATAAGGACTAAAAGCGGTTCATTTTTTGTTGCAGGCGAGACGTTACGATTCACAGACTCCTCCACTCTTTGAGGAGCATAGAGTGTATCAGAAGTATAATAGCTGTATATGTATTACTATGAAATGCGAGAGGCAAGGTGTTTGACAAAAACGTGGAAGGGAGCCGGCAGCGCGTGATGGGATCAAATTCTGCTTCTTCCCTCCCATCTTGTTAACGCCCACAACGACTCACTCGCCCACACTTTCCAGACCTTGACTCCCGCGTGAGTTTTCCATACCTACTTTGTGGATTGTGCCACCGATTGTTTGGTGATGGACTCAGAGCGCTTGCAGATGCCAGCTCCCGGCTTACCAATCCCCGAGCTATGGGACGCAATTATCAGCCATGTTCGAGACCCATATGAGACTGATCCTGAAAAAGATCTGAAGGCCATCTCTCTCGTCTGCAGTTCCTTCTGCGCACCGGCACAAAGGGCTCTGTTCGAGTACGTTCTGATACGCAACTCCTGGCTCCGAGAAACTCTCGATAATCAGTGGTGAACAACGGCACATCGCGAAGGAGCTTGCAGCAGTGAAAGCAGCTCGCCTCGCGGACATCCTGGAGGATGCGCCTCACCTCCTACGTTACATCCGCGATCTATCAATTGGGACCGACGACCCGGAGTGTTTTCGCATCGCTGCCGCGATTCCCTGGTCGCAGCAACTCCACAGTCTCGAATTTCGAAATCTCAGCCTGGCGACTCTCGAAGGATGTTCTGACGGTGTAGCACGGCTTTTGGGAATCAACTCTATTCGGGATTTGAGTTTGCAAGGGCATGGAGATTGCATCGACTTCGAAGCGGTGTTCTCGTACTGTTCGTCGAGCATTGAAACGTTGCGTCTCTCGTTCCTGCACTGGCCGCTTCCCGAGTCCCCGGTGACTTTCTCTGGACGCGCGATCCGGGGCACTCCACGACCGGCTATTCGCGAGTTGAGCCTCCCCGACTATCCGTCTCAATTCATGGATATCCTTGGTGAGGCTTTCGACTTCAGTGGTTTGGAAACCCTGGAGCTTGGCTTGGATGAAGGTGCGCGTTTGGCGCCCTTCCTGAGCCGTTATTGTTCCACCGTGAAGTGTCTATTCATCAGGAATAGAGGTAAATTCGCTCTCATCGAACTAGTATTCGCATTAATTCATTCTTTGAAACCTGGATTAGATTCGGGATGGACCGAATTCGATCCTGTAATTCACCTTCCAGCTCTTGCACAAATCCAAGTGGTCATCTCGACGCTGGATTCATTTATAAATTTCCTCGCAAATGTCACGACAAACAATCACATCGAACTCGTCAAAATTCTGTTCCCTGTAACCAGCGACAACACGAAGAATCTCCGCAAGGATATACCCGTCGACACGGCACGTCGATTCGAAGATGTCGTCCTACACCCTGGGCGGCTACCCGCGCTTCGTGTGGTGCAGATGAAAGTCCATCTATTCCATATGCTCCATGGAATTCCTGTGGATATCATTCGGGAGTTGTTCCCGCGACTTCGGGAGAAAGGGATCCTGGAGGTGGCGGGGAGTGGGAATCCGAAAGATGTGCGTGAGGTAGTGGCAAATCCGACGTTTCTTCCTCAACTGCGGGATCGTATCAGTATGATGGAGTCTCAATGATCTTTTTTCTTTAGACTTTCGACAATCATCGGACTGTGGCAGATTCGACCCATAACAAACCTGTCGGAAAAATACCGTTTCGCTCATAAGGGTTCGAGGAGGAATTGGACCAACTTTCCGAAGGAGTAAGTAGCTCCTTGGAAAATCATTTCCGAAGTCGTCCATTGGACCATGACAATGTTGGGCTCCAACGTTTTCGGTTTCATTTGGCGAAACGAAAACAGTATCAAGAGGCAACTTCAAGTCCGTGTTGAAGACCGTTGCTAGTTTGGATTTGGATAAGGGATGGATGGTATTGGAATTCGGAGTGAAGGTCAAAAACCGAGTAGAATGATGGCGAGAGCCGGGATGTTTGAAATTAGGGATTGCGACAATAGTGGGGTGCCAAACTTTCTGAGTTCCTATTAGTATATGCTCACTGTTGAGAGACTCAGAGGCGATTTGGATCGAGCGATGAGAGTGGAAAAAAATAGGATTCAGATTGAATTAATTCTGACTCTTGAGGAGGTGAGAGTGTTAGCTTCAAGGAGTGATCCATTGTTGCTGCTGCCTGAATATTGAATGTTCATTGAATGCATCGAGTTCAATTTGTCAAACAGAGTAAGGCTCATGATCAGCCAGGTTTTTTAGCCAAGATTCTGCCTGCGAACGCAATTGCTCGATCGAGACTTGAGGATATTGGGTGGCAATTTTTCTTGTATGTATCGGCGCACCCGCGCACTGGCAAGTTAAATGAATTTTATTCGTTGCCTCATGAGTAAATATTAGGATTTCGCTCCAGATGTTCTGTTGTGGAACACCATCAATGGCCGCCTGGCGAAATGGCATCGCGTCTGACTACGATATCTGTAAACACTTTCGCAATCAGGAGATTGCAGGTTCGACCCCTGCGGTGGTCATAAATTTCCAACATACACCTTTTTTGGTTGTTGTTTTGTTTCCGGCGGCATCCATTGACGAAGCCTTCCTACCACTGGCAACCAGTAGGCGGGGACTCTTGTTAAGAATCTGATGGAGCTTTCCTGCATACCTTGAGATGACCGGGTTCGCAACCACCGCATCGATAGCGAAGGGTTCAAAAATACATAAGCGGCGAGTTGGCGACGACGGAGTAACAGGAGCAAGCAGATCAATACGATCAATAAATATTTTGTTTCCTGCCTAATTCGGCGCTAGGATCAGCGCCTCATCTTCGTGTTCACTTCGTCGCTGTCTTCGGTTTACTCGACGCCAAGTCCACCGTCGCCCTCGACATTCACGAAGTCTCGCTCGACGCTCTCGTTGTCGATAACATTTCCGAAGACGCTCTCGTCTCGATAACGTCAACGAAGACGCTCTCGCTGTCGATAACATCAACGAAACGATCGTCGTCGACAACTCCAACGAACCACGATGTCTCAAGTTCTCGTCGACCACGGCGCGCCGCCGATCATCCCCGCGTCACTGCTGCCGTACCAATCGTACGAAGAAGACCCGAAGTGGCAGACGCGGTTTACGATTATGTGGGTCGTGGGGCTGGGTGTGTGTGTTGGTGTGTGGGGGGTGTGGGGGTGGGTGCCGAGGAGGCGGGGGCGGGGAGGTGCAGCGAAAGTAGGGAGACTGGGGAGGACGGTGGTAGCTGTGGATAGTCTGCGGATGTGGACGCCTCCTGGGTTGGGGTTGAATGTCGGACAGAGTACGTTTCCGCTTTTCTTTCATTCCCCTCTTTTCGAATAATAATTCCATCGAAGTATTCATAATCCTGATCTACGCCCTCTTCGCGCTGCTCTGCATAATCCTCCGCGCCCCCCTCCTCGAAAACCCGAACCGCGCAGGCTTCCTCGCCCTCGCGCAGCTCCCGCCTGTCTTCCTCTTCGCCACCAAGAACAACCCTCTCACCTTATTTCTCCTCGGCCCCGGCGCAGACTGGAGCAAACTGAACTACGTGCACCGCTGGTCCGCGCGCCTCCTCCTCCTCGCCGCGCTCGTGCACGGGAGTATCTGGATCAACAACCACGTCGTCTTCGATCTGCCGATATTGACGCAGCAGAAGGAGGGGAGCGGGGTGGCGGCGTTGGCGGCGCTGTGTTTGATTGCGCTGACGAGCGTGGCGCCGGTGAGGAGGGTGTGGTGGAGTGGGTTTTTGGTGTTGCAGTGAGTGCATTCTCTGCTTCGTGTTTTCTTTCTTCGTCTAGTTTGTGTTTCCGGAAACCTACTAACCCCACCCACAGCTACCTTCTCTTCCCCGCCTTCTTCATCACCATCTGCTACCACACCATCTACGCCTCCCCCTGGATCTTCCCCCCGCTCGCGTTCTACGCCGCCGACCTCCTCCTCCGCATCCTCGTCCGCTGGCGCGTCGTCGTCGGGCGCCTCGAGGCGCGCGGGGAGAGGAGGGAGGGGGGGTGGGTTTTGGTGAGTTCTCTCTTTCTCCCTGTTTCCTGTATATCTCTTTCGTATATACATATCTTTCCTGTCATTCTGTCTCACATATCTTTCGCTTGCCTGTCTTTTCTTCCACACATATCGCATATCTTTTCTCTCGCGCTCTCATATCTTTCGCTTGCCTGTCTTGCACTTCCCGTCTTTCTCGCACATATCTTTCCCTTTCCTGTCTACTCGTCTAAACGACAACTGACTGACTACCCTCTCTCGGACAGATAACCATCCCCCAAGCCCAGCACCCCCAGCCCCTCGCGACCCCGCACCACGGCGGGCAGCACGTCGCCCTGCGTGCCCTCGTCGGCGCGCGGGCCTGGGAGAGCCACCCCCTGAGCGTGTGTTCGGCGGGTGGAGGGAGGAGTGTTTTGAGAGGTACGTTTCTCTTCGATCTTCTTTCAGTCATTTGTTTTCCCCAACCACCACCCATCTCTCCTTCGTGTGCTGCGGGCTTGTGTGTGTTGTTGTGCGACTGGGTGTTCTTCTGTGCGAATGTGAAAGAAGAAGAAGTGGGGGTGGGAGTGGTGCGTTGTGGCGATCGTATGTATGATACGTCATACGCGTGCGATGGATGTGTGGTTTTGTGCGATTGGGGGCGCGGTGATTGGTCGGGTTTGGAGGGAGAGAGGTTGGTTGCTTGAGGCAATGAGGTGTCGCGATCTCGACGTTTCGGCGTTGAGGAGCGCACGGGTGTATGTCGACGAGGGGCCAGCCCCGAGTTCTTTCTTGCCGCGTTTCTCTTCTTCTTCGTCCTCCCTCATTGTCCTTTCACTCACTAACCCCTCTTCGCGTTTCTCCCCAGACCCCTCCGACCCCACGGGCATGCGCCCCCTCGGCCTCCTCCTCGTCGCGCGCGCGTGCGGCGACTGGACCCGCGCGTTGTGGGATTACGCCGCGGCTGGTGAGGATCTTGATTTCGACGAGGAGGAGGAAGAGAGATGTGAGGACTGCGGGGACGCGGACGCGGACGTGGAAGCAGCTTCTTCCTCGAAACCCGACGACACCGCTCAGGAGAAAAACATCACGAAGCCCGCTCCCACCCCAACACCATCAAGACACGCGCACCTCATCCTCGAGGGGCCCTACGGCGGCCCCTCGCTCCGCGCGTGGGAGTACGAACGCGTGCTGCTCGTCGCGGGCGGGAGCGGCGCGGGGGTGGCGCTGGGGGTGTTGGATGAGATTGTGGGGAGGTATGTGAGGGATGTCAATGCAGGAGAAGGAGGAAGGAGAGAGGTGCGCACGCGGAAGATCGTGTGGTGTTGGTGTGTCCGGTCGTTTGGTGAGCTTTCTCTTGCTTGTGTTTATGGGGGTTATTGACGCGCACCAAACAGGCGCCATCTCGCACCTCGCGCCGTACCTGCAGCAGATCGCTGCGGCGGTAGCGGCTGCGAACGCCTCTTTGTCTTCCTCTTCGTCTTCCCAATCCGCAAACTCTAACTCGCCGCCGACTTCACCGCTGGAGCTGCACATCCAAATCCACGTAACCTGCCTCTGCGACCCGCTCGCGGTCCCGGCGATCCCGAACTGCGTCGTCGTGGAGGGGGAGGGGCGGCCGGAGGTGAGGGGCGTGTTGGGGGCCTTAATTCGGGGCTCGTCTTCGTCGTTTGGTTCTGCGAAGTATGGTGGGGATGCGGAGGAGGGCGGGGAGAAACGGAGCGCGTCTGTATCCGAGGAGGATATGGCAACCACAGGGGAGAAAGCCGCCATGGGAAGTAAGGAGGGAGAAGGAGCAGGAGAAGGAGAGACGACGGCCGTGTTCGCTGCTGGACCTGCGAGTCTCGTGCGGGAGGCGGGGAATGCGGTCGTCGCGGAAAATTTGAGGGGAGGAGGGGGAGGGGGCGTGAGGTTTTGTGCGGAGGTGTTTACGATTTAGGTTTCATGGACGTTACTTGCATAGATGAGATGATGGATACGTTGATGTACGATTTGGATGTATGTTACTGACGAACGGTATCGATGTATGATTGGATGTACTTGCTATTGCTTACGGATGTAAGATTCCAGTGAACTGGAGGACATAAAGACCCTTGTTCTACGTCCGCTTGCGATATTGGGTAGGGGTTCACGCGTTCACGATTTACAGTGCAATCGACGTCTATGTTTTCGTACTGCGTGCAGATATCATACAAAAATCAGTCGTAAGTAAAACCGAGACGACGGGGGATACGTGCGTAAGGGACAGCGAACTAAGTAGAATACAAGGTACAAAGCATGATATATCCATCCACACAAAACAGAGGTCCGGCCGATAGCGACGACAGGTAGTAGGGAACCAATATCAGCATTCCATCGAGACGCCGGTATCAATGACCTTTGGAAGCGGCGGCGGCGGCAGCGTATCGCCCGAAGAGCATTTCGCCTACGCCGAGGCCGATGATGAGGGTGATGATGTAGGATGCTTGGAAGGTCCTGTGGGACGAGTCAGCGATGCGCGGCGAGAAAACGGTCAGAAAGACCGCAGATAAAACGAATGAAACAAGACGTACATGACGACCAACATGAAGACAAACCCCAGCGCCGCCTGTACAGCGTGTATGACCCCTCGCATGATATCATTCGCAGGCACGAACGGCGGTGCGCTCAACCCTAAAAACCTTCTCCTCCCCTTGCCCTTGGCATCTTTCTCGGTCTTCGCCCGTCTCGCCGCCTCCCTCCCCCACCCCGCCTCCATCATCGCCCTCACCGCCCCCAACCACCTTTCCACGAGCGCCAGAATGAAGAACCCGACGCACGCGCCGAAGACCGCCCCGCGCGTCTGCGGCACCCAGCCGTTGAAGAGGAGGGTGTCGGAGATGGGGGAGAAGTGGAGATAGGTGAGCATGGTGCCAGATGCGAGGGACATGCCGTCGTCCATGGACATGTCCATGCCGTTTTCCATTGCGTTTGTGGTGTGCGGGAGGGCGAGGACGATGAGGGTGAGGAGTGCGGGGAGGTTGGCGAAGGGGAATAGTGGTTGGAGGAGAAGAGATTTCATGGCTGGTGAGGTGGATGGGGCGGCGATGGACGAGGAGGTATCCAGTGGTGATGAAGGCAGGAAGCGAAATGCGCGGGAGGGCGATGGGAGGGGAAATATACAGGTGTAAATAAAGTTTTGATGGACGTCGTCAAGGGCTACAAAAATCGTGAAAATGTTGCTGAAATCCCTGCGGGGCTGTAGCAAGCTGGGGGAGACTCGGTAAAATGTCTCGGTGTCATCTCTGCCTCTGCGGTAGAGAACGGACGAGAAAAGCAGAAGGGAGAAACGCGGAATCAAGGACCTCCGCGATAACGGAGTTCTCCCGCCCTCGCAACCAATGAGCGACGGCGATTCCCCGAGTCAGCTGTGGCGGGAGATGGTTAACGCGGTCGGCATCGATATGCGGGGTTGTCGGTGTATCATGGGCAACGCGGGAGACAAGGATGGGAGGTTATATTTTGAGGGTGCGCGTGAATCGGCTGAATGTTCTTTGAGAATAAACATGGTCAGTCGGAGAGGGAGGGG